CCCCGCCCCCACCCCTACCCCTACCCCAGGCACAGCGCTGACGTCACCCGCCCAGCAGCAGGCGGCACCGCCCGAGCAGTCACGCGCGCGCCCCGCCCGCACGGAGTGATGCGCCCCCGCAGAGATCCCTCCGCAGCCTGGTGGAATTTTCCAGGCGCCCTGCCGGCTCTTCTTTCTGGCTTCTGCAGGGCACAGTGACCTGGGGAGACCTGGGGCAGATCTGCCTGAAACCCAGCCCGACCCAAAGTTTTGTAGGAAACCGTTTCCCGCCTCCTACCCCTTGCAAAGGGGACTTGCTCTCCCCTCCTCCCCGCCACGGTGCCCACCTCCCCAACGTGTCCTTGAGATCTGTCCTGGGGCCGGTGACGCAATGCAAAGGGCAGTTTGGGAGTGGCCGTCCAAGGAGGCCCTGACCCGCCCTTCTTGGCTCCCTAGCCTGGGTGAGGGAGGGACTTTTTTTTAAGTGTCCGTGGAGGAATCGTCCCGCTGAGCCTAGCCTGGGTGACGCGCCCCAAAGCTATAAAAGCAAAAGTTTTGTCCCCACCTCCTGCAGGAGTTAGCTACAAGGAGGGCATGCACTTGGGCTCAGTGGTGGGGAGGAAGGGGCCAGCTCAGGGCTCTGAAGTGGGAGATGGCAGGGTTAGATAGGGCCAGCAGGTTGGGGGTGCGTGGAGGAGAAAGGGAAGGGCTAAAAGAAAGGCTAGGCCCTGGGAGGGGTGTGTGGAAGGCAGCTTTCAAAGTGCCACAGACCATCCACACTGGAGACAGCAGCCGTCGAGGCCAGGCTGTCCCTGTTGTCAGCTGGAGTTGGGGCGCTTGACCTCCAGGAAGGCACAGGTCTTTGAGGCCTAGGTGGACCCAGTGTCCTAGCCTGAGTGGAAGGCATGTTGGGGAAAAGATGGCAGAACAGGTAGTGGAGACAGGTGGAACAGGGCCCTTGAGGCCCAGGAAATGATCATGAAAGGAACATGGGGACTGGGCTACAGGTGGGCAGGTAGTGGAGACAGGTGGAACTGGGTTGAGGCCCAGAAATGATCATGGAGAACAAACATGGGGACAGGGCTGCAGGTGGGGAGGGAGGGCCGACTTTGCCATGCCAGCAGCCCCCTTTTTTTCCAGACAAGGGGTGTGAACCCTCCTGGGGATGAGGACTGGTCTTTGAAAAGTGGACTTAGCTTCGTGGGCCTGACAGCTCTGGCCCAGGGTGGTATGTAATTGGGGCTCGGCCTGGTGGCACTCAATTCTGGGTGTGAGGCGAGGCCCTGGTCAGAGGTGAGGGGTGGCCGAAGGAGTGGCTGCATAGAGAGACGCCTTCACTGGTTATTGGTGTGACCTGTCAGGTCGTCCAGAAGGGGGCTGCTGGGGGCCACATTGACCACAGCTTTATTTTTCAGGTTGGCAGTGCCCCCTTCTGGACTTTTCTAGGTTCGGTGGTAACCTCTTCTGTGAGCTCATTCTTCCCCCCTCTCCTCCCTCTCAGTCTGAGGTTATGGGTTCGATTAAAACCTTGGCCTCTGGTCATCTGGTAAGCCCTAGGAAGGCGCAACTTTGGACTTTTGGATTCGGTATTTTGGTATTGTTGGTAAAAATGGAGGAAATGCACACCTTGACTTGGGTGGGGTGGGTTGGTGTTGATTTCACACATGGTTGGAGGTTGGGCGGGTTCTCCGTAATGGATCCAGTTGCCCAAATGCCTCATGAACGTGGTTTGTTACTATAGTGGCAAGCAGATGGCACCAGGAGACGCGGAGGCCCTGGAGGACACAGCGGCTCACATTGATGCCTGCAGATTGATTGCCAGAGGCTTAGGAAGTTCTGCACTGCCTGGTGACCAGGCTGGGGAAGCCCTGTATTCAGGAGGCCACCGTTTAAATTGTTCAGATGAGCTTATGGGGGGCAGTGCGAAGCAGATGCTTCCGGCTGGAGGGGCCATCAGCTGTGAATGTTGGTTCCAGATGAATGTCTCGTTCTGGGAGCACCATTCCCCCGGATGCATGGATGCTAGCAGGCACCCCTCCTTTCTTAGGGGTACGGGTTTTTCAGCTGCCACGTCTTCTAGATCAAGCCTACAGTCTTTGTAGTTCTGTGCCACGAACTTTACTTCGAGAAGATTTCTTGAGGTGTAGAACATTTTAACGTTGATGTCACAACGCAGATGATGCCTTGTAGATGGTGTTTGCAGACGGAGCCCAGTGACCTCACCCACCATGCTCTTCCAGCCTGTCTGCCTGCCTCTGCGTTGGTCAGAGGAATTCCTAGTGTGATGAAACTTTTGGGTGCTGGGGAAAGCTGTTTGGTTTTAAATGCCTGAGACAGAAATTGTGAAAGTGGGAGGAGAGGTGGTTGCGTTTCAAGTTGGCCATGCACACATGATTTGGAAGTGGCAGATCTAGTTTGGGCGTTCTGGTGGCATTGGGTACTAAAAAGGGAATGATGGATCTACACTGATCCTTGGGGTTTTGTCTTGGTACTGCAGATGGAAGGTGACTGAGCTAGAATATTCTAACCGAGGAATTCATGCTTCATTTCTTTGTGTTTCTGAGATGGGGTCTGACACTATCAAGTAGGCTTCCAACTCTTAATCCGCCTGTCTAGGACTCATGGATGCTGGGATTACATGTGTGCCGCTACACCTGGCCTTCCAGTTTTTAAACTTGGCGTCTCCCACATATGGTTTCAGAGTACTCTGGACACCAGAGGTGGGACTTGCAGGAGCGGGAGGAGGGAATCTGCTTGGCACTGGTGGGGGGGATGACAACTTTTGGGGAGAGTTGATGAGGGATGCAGCTCAAGGTGGTAGGGTGCTGACATGGGATGGGATTGGAAATAATGGGTTGATAAGAATTCTCCAGGGAAATAAGAACTCAGAAACTAAATAGGGCTGGTGCATTAAGGAAAAAAAAAAAAAGTTCCTGTCTAGAAGCCATGACAGTTGCTTGGGAAACTAAGAAATGCTTAGGACTTAAATTCAAGAAAAAATTTGTTTTGCTTTGGTATTAAATGGGGAAGATTGAAAAGTTGTGACTAAACCCAGTGTGGAAAGGTGTCAGACTCAATAGAACTTAACCGTGAACATGTAAACTGCCTAGGCAGTCTGGGAGAGCTGTGTACCGTGCCTGCAAGGTGGGGCTTTTAAAGCATTTGGGGTTGCACTCAGGATGAGATTGGGCTCTTTGGAGTTTGTAATTCAAATTTTATCAGATACTTTGTGATTGAAATTCATATCAACATGAAAGTGAGTTGTGACTGAAATTCTGATCAAAGTGACTGAAGGAATTTATTATGCAAATAATACCTTATAGAAAAATATCTGCTTGCATTTCTATGATTGGTCAGTAAACAGCAAGACTGACTTCCTAATTTTTCAAACCAGTCATTGTAACAGAGACAAATGATCTTTTGTGTTGCGTGTGAAATTACTGTACTATTTGGTAGCAAACAATTCCTGTACCTTTGCTGAGGCTGTGGTGAATAATCCACTGTGGTTTTAGCTTGAATGGGACATTTTAAGCCATCCAGGAGTAGAGGGAACTGTCCATCAAAACTAGTTTGGGAAATAAAAACAAACCTGGAGTGAAGGGGACAACTTCCTAGATGTGGTCTATAAAAATTCATCTGAAAACCATATTTCTGAGTTCTGTTTAAGTGGTAAAGAAATGTCAGTGGCTTTTTGTATTGTCATTTCCTTTAAATTTTAAGCCCCTAATACTCTTCTATCTTTGGGACTTTGTCTTTTTTTTTTTTTTTT